CTCACAGGTCTTACTGTCCTGTTTCCCTAGTTTTCAGCACCCCACGCACGCACTGTGTCTGCACTCTGGTGCGGATGGCTAGGGCTAGCTATTTAGCAGTCCTGAGCTCCCTCTCCCTCTCCGCTCCGACTCCTCTCCTCCTGCCGGGAGCTGGGGTGGGGGGTGCTCGGGTCCCACCAGGCCGGGGCTTGTATCTTACCCCCTTCGTGAAGCGCTGGATTCTCGCAGGTGTAGATGTAGTCTGGCTGTTGTCCTGTGTCTTCTGGTCTCTCTTTTAGGAAGAGTTGTATTTGTTGTATTTTCAAAAATATATGTGGTTTTGGGAGGAGATTTCTGCTGCTCTACTCATGCCACCATCTTGGCTCCCCTTGATTACCAATGATTTTTTTGATAAGACACTAAAAGCACAAGCTAACAAGCAAAAATTGACAAGTGGAACTCACTAAAAATCATCTGCACAGAAAAAAAAAGACAATCAATATATTGAAAGTGCAACCTAAAGAATGGGGGGAAATATTTGCAAACCATGTATTGGCTAAGGAGTTAATATTCAAAATGTTCAAAGAACTCACACAACTCAACAGCAAAACAAGTGAGTAATCCAATTAAAAATGGGCAAAGGACCAGAACACAAATTTTTCCTAAGACATAGAAATGGTGCTCACAAAAGGTGCTACACAAAAAGGTGCTCACCATCACTAATCACCAGGGAAATAGAAATCAAAACCACAATGAGATAACACCTCATACCTGTTAGAATTGCTATCATCAAAAAGATAAGATAAATGTTGGCAAGGATGTGGAAACAAAGGAACCTTTATAACATTGTTGGAAATGTGAATTAGTACAGTCTTTGGGGAAAGCAGTATAGAGATTCCTCAACAAATTAAAATGGAAAATTTTTTGAAGAACATGAAAAAAACAAAAGAAAGAAGGAAATCTTGTCACTTGCAACAACATGATGATACCAGAAGACACAATGCCCAATTAAATAAGCCAGACAAAGAAAAACAAATACTATATGGAATCACTTGCATGGGCAATATAGTTTTTAAAAGCCAATTTCATAGAAACAGAATAGAGATAGTTGTCAGAGTCCAGAGGAGGGATAAATGGGGAGATATAGGCCAAAGGATACAAACTTTCATTTATAAGACATTTAATGTTTTAATGGTATCAATTATTCCTCAATAAAGTTGAAAATGAAAGAATGGTGAATAAATGGGTAAATTCAGTTAAGAAAACATGTGGCATTTGTTAAGTTGTTTGAGATATCCATGGAAATAACATATGTTTAAGTATCATAACTGGCCTACAGCAAGTGCTCAGTAAATATTATCTAGTATTATTATTTGAGTTTATTTTAGATTCGAAGCCATAGCACTAGGGGTTTCAGATATCCTGTTCCCCAATTGTTCATCCTTTCCTCCCATTCCTTCCCTTATTCTGCCCCTGGGCATTTATGCCTTTGTGTTCTGGCCTATCTTTTTTCTGACCTATAGTTTGCTTTGACCCTTTGCCCTTGCTGTCTATAATAATGATTGATAGTATTGTCTCCATTTCTTAAATGAAGAAGCTGAGGCTCACAGGGGCTAAATAGCCTGTCCCAAATCACCCAGATAAAATGCAAAGTCAGAATTCAAACCCAGATTTTACCAGGTCATCAATGGTCAGTGATAATTTCTTGTATATTGCCATCTCCCTACCTTTTCAATGTCAACTCGAAGACATCAGTCCTGGATCCTTATGCATCCATGCACAAGGATGCACAGCTCAGCAGACATTAAGGGCTGAATCCAGCCCATATTCTCCTTGGTAAGCCATGTGCCTAGGCATGGAGCCCTGTGCCCAGAAGAAGGGGTACCTTTTCTAATTCTCACAAAGGTAGTCAAAGGCTAAGAAACCTGTCTCCATACTGTTGTGACAAACATGCCCCTTACAAAACCAACTTGGGATTCCACCTGTAAGTCAGTGTGTTTGCATTCTACAAGTGAGTGAGTGCTGTGTGACTGGCCAGTCTGAATTACTATCCTTTTAGGTTAGGGTAAAGGAGTAATTATTTATCCTTTGGTAAATGTATGTAGTTTCACTTATGCATGAATATGGAAGTGGAGTATACTTAGAGACTGTGATGCTAAATTCACCCTGTATTTGAGAAAACCAACTGTCAGAAAAAAGGACAACACACCCCTTATGGTAAATACAACCTCTTTCTTCACATCAAATTTTCATGGTTGAATACTTCTATGAACTAGCTGTTTGCTTTCACATGAATTTTCTGCCAAGTATGATGACAAACATACTGATAAATGAAAAAAAATGTTCACTGGTTAAAATCGGATCCTGCCTTCTATTTTAATTACTTATCTATATGGCAAGCTATTTAGACTGTCACACTTGAGAACAGAAGATAGATGCCAACATCCTTTTAAAAGATGAGTTTGCTGTATACGTCTGCTGCTGCTGTTATTATAACGTCACATAGACAGGCAGACAGAATTACCATTTGGTAAATGGATTAAATAAATAATCTGATATATTGTCTAAGAGTCCCAGTGATTGCAACAAAATGATAAGAGGCCAGAATGAGTCAGATAATGTCTTGAGATGGTTAATTATTGTTTTCCAGACCTAAAGAAATATGATTTGAGTTAGTTAAACATAGTATATCCTGTCCCTTTCTCCTTTTCTCCTTCATCCTTCCTCTCTCTGGCATGAAAGGGTATATAAAGTTGTGGTATATCATTTATTACATTAACATTTCATGGAATATCAAATAAACTATTAAATATCAAGTATCCATTAAATGAAGATTACCTTTGCCTACATAAGATAACCATTTTTCAAACCACAGAATTTGACAAATTATACCGGATAGGAATTTACTGGATCTAGTTTACTAAAGATAGTATAAGATCTTGTAGTGCATTAGTATGATAGAAGTAAATGTTCATTATTATTGTTTTTAATTGTTATTGTCAGTTAATAAAGGATTCCAGGAGAATCCTTTTACTTTCATATCAAGTTTATTATCCTAATGTTATAAAACTGAATATTATGAAACAAAGGCAAGACTGGATTTATAAGCACAGAGTTTAAATATGAGCTTATAATTTGAAGAATTCCTAAAGTTCAAAAGATAATTTCAACTCACTTGCAACATTGCCTGAAATTCCTCTAGTAAAGATTCACTTCTTTGGGTTAAGCTTTTGCCTCTAGAAAAAGAGTTCATTAAAAGATTCTGGGAAAAATGGCCCATTAAGTCTGTATCATAATTACAATAATAGCTATTGTTTTTGGAAAATTTACAATGTTTGAGAAACTGAACTAGATGCCTTTTAAACATGATCTATTATCTTCACAGCAGTCCTACTTAGTGGATTTAAATTTTCCATTTCATAGTTGAGGAAATTCAGAATAATAAAAATGAAATACTTTCCTAAAATATGAGACAGAGCTCGGAATTAAACCAAAATATGGCTGACTCCAAAGTGCTACCAGTTTCACATGGAGACAGATTTCTCAAGGGGCATTCCAAAAACACCCCAAGTAAAGAATCTTGGGAAAAGACATCAAGAAGTGAGTTGAAAATACCACAAAGGTGGATTGGGAGAACTACAAAACAAAATATAACAGGCAACGTGGTTTCACTGAGGATTAATAGATATCACCTGAGCAGATATCACCTTTCCAGTCTTTTCTGAAATGCCACTGATTCTCCACTCTTGACAGCCACATCCATGAACTTTGATGATATCTTTTTTTAACTTGCTGATTTATTTATTTAGGATGAGAACATAATTGCTGAGAAAATAGCAACAGCTGGAAAATCAAGTTGTAACCAGAGAGCTGTTTGGTAAACATGGATTTAGTCCAAAATACTTTAGTCAGAAATGTGATGATATCTTAAATGGATCTTGCAGGTGTTGCTTGGTGACAAGATGTTCTATCCTCATACACGTTTTGAGGAATTCATTGCCACGAAAGTGTGCAACCGGAAGCTATTTCATCATATTTGCAGGAACTTCCTGTTTATTTTGAATGGATTTGATCCAAAAAACTTAAATATGGTATGTGTATGTAGTTGGACCTAGAAAGGCTATTGTTTGGTTGCACAGAGGTTTGGAGAGTTCCTTCTGAATTGCATGGAAACTACATGTGTCTCTTTTTTGTCTCCTGGATTGCGAGTACATGCTCATGGCTACCAACCACGGCTGAGTAGAAGGATTTGAGAGAAGGCTTTGTCGCTGAAAACTCTCCAACTCTTGCTGTTGGCCAAAGTGCCACCATTGAAATGTCCTTCACTTCCATTAAGGCTATGATTTTGAAATTTATTTTGCTGTATCTGAGCGCTATCTGAGACTTATTGAAGTAAAATTTCAGGAAGTGAGCCCAGACATCTGTATTTAAACCAATTTTCCACTTCATAGGTGATTTGGAAATAGTCTTTTGTGAACCACTTACTTCTTTAATACAAAGAGATTAGGGATAGCTCTTCAATGACAGCTATGGATTCATTGTTCAAGGGCTACCGAGAGGGATGCGTGTTGGGCTTCTTGTTGAGTACTTTCCAACTTAACTGCGATCCTTTCCTTTCTTAGTTACCGCGAGCTGACTCAAAGAGTGGGGAGACAGTGTGGGGGGAGGGATGAAGAGGAGAAGAACCTACTGTTCATTCCCCAGCTAGGGAGGAGATACGTTTCAAACCAGAGGAAGGACAAAATTGAAGATGGTCTCCAAATATCTCACAGACTTCCTCCCAGAGCCTGGATTCCTTCTATTAGTAGAAAGCACTAACACTTTCCTTATGGTCAAACAAGATTTATAAAAGGCTGTTCATGCAAAGCATGTCTTAACCAATGCCTTTTTACACTCCTTTATCACTTCCTCAGTTTACTAGGGAAACTGTGCTTACCTATCACTTAGATGGAGGCATAGCATATAGATGAAAGCATGTTATGTAGGCAGAACTAAGTAAAAAGACCTTTAAGTAAACACAATAAAGATCATTGCAAAAGCTCTATTATTGCAATAGCCTGAAAGTTTACTAAAGAAAGACTTCACAAAATGACACACTTGAACATTTATTGGAGGCCCTCATTGTACATTTATATATAGTCAGGTTGCCTTTTTTCTTGCTGTTGGGGTCTGGACTATGGAATATGCCTGCAATGACATTTATTTTGGTGGTGCACAACCAGGGATGCATAAGTAAAGTTTATGAAACTTTGAAAAAACATTCAGGTGTAGAACTCAACCCTAGAAATTTTGGTACTCCCTGGGTAGGTTTGGGTAGGTCATAAGGAGCTGTGTTTTTTAAAGCTCCAAGATAGTTCTATGTTCACTTTGTTGGAAAAATAACTCTTTTGTATACTAAAAAACCAATTGCAGTTGAAACTATGAAAAAAAATCAAAGGGTTGTTTTTGATTCATAAAGTATCTAAATATTCATGGAGGTTAAAATACTTGGTGGATTACATCTCGTAACTTTTAAAGAGCCCTGTAGTTATTTACCAAATTTTTAAAATCAGAAAGCAAAAGGAATCATTCAAATCATGCCACCATGTCTTGCGATCAACTCTGGCAATGTCCTTTGGGACTTGATCCAGAATGAAGACAGTCACTGGGGCTTTATCCCTTGACACCCATACTCAGATCTGTCTGAGCTGAGGCTGGAAAGAAAAAGTATATTACCTTCTGTCTTTGACCAGAGGGATGCCCTGTGTGGGCTTTAAGATGACACTGTCCAGGATAGAAGAATATAGCTAAGGGCAGAGAAAGATCTTAAAGATAGGCTTCTTGGTTAGTATGTCTTCAGAGGGTAGGGTACAAGATTTTTCTTAAAAACAAAAATAGAGAAAGATATTCAAATGTACTGATGATATAATTAACATCCAAATGAGAAAGATCTCTTTGTTTTGCAGAGTCGTTTGGATATATACTTGCCACAGATCCCTGCGGGGACATCTGCTCAGAATATTCAGCACTGGGCCCAGGTATGTGTTTCCTCTTCCTGATGTGATGCACACACATCTCCAACTCCTGGGGGAGTGCTGCCAGGGAGCTCATTGTCGGGGCTCTTCGGGCACTGGCCCCATCATGCTAATGTTTCTGGAATCAGCACCAATGCATACTGATTGCCTTTACTCCCTTCTATTTTCTGGGCCTCAGTGTCTGGTATTTGGGCCTGGTTCCACATATTCTTACTGAATTCTAATCCTTAGATTACTCCAAACTGCCTTTTCTAGGGAAAACTTGTATTTCCTCTTGGGAAATCATCAGCTCTAATAGAACTTCATATAACATGATACAGACTATGCCAGAAAGATCTGCTCAACCTCCCATTGGCGTTGGCATATGGGCCATTTCAGAGTGTGGAAATCATGCTTTATTCAGAGCAAATTAAATGTTAGGGAGGTATTAGAACAGATTAATGGTTTCTGGTTTTACCCTCAGTTTTTGTTGTTGTTGTTGTTGTTGTTATATAACTCAATATTAAGCAAGCTCAGAGATAAGTCAAATTCAGTACTCAATTGATATAGCCTTCTGAGCTGAGTATGTATGAAAGTGAATGGTGGATGTGTGTGTGTGTGTGTGTGTGTGTGTGTGTGTGTGTGCGCGTGTGTGTGCGCAAAAGAGAGGTGTGTACCCAAAGTTTTAATATTTCTGAGATCCCTAGAGATTTGAATTTTAACCTATACCCTAATAAATTGGTTCCATGATTTAAAGTCCAAAAGCACTGCTATAAATAGCCAGAAACACTAGTTGAGGATTTCTGAAATTCTTTGAAGTTTTCTGCGCGCAGGAGATAAATGTTTCAAGTTCCTATAGGAAGAAGGATGGTTAGGACATAGGGCCTCCTACTGGTGAGGAGACAGATAGACTCTGATGGGCATGACCTTCCAGGTAATACAATTTTAATTTCCCATTTATTGAGCACCTGCTCTGTGTTCCTGCTTTCACCTAAGTGTGAAAGTTATCTGCCTCCTCAACCCAACATGGGTGGCAAATAACAGAAAAAAGGAACCCCTAGGCCTGTGCATGCTTCTATTCTAGTATGTGAAGCCTAGAAATTAAATGCAGAAAAGGGCATGCATGGTGTCTCAGACACTCAGCCTGAGGCCACATTACTGCCCACATGGCATACTGTTCGGCCCTATGGACAGGAGATAGACAGCATTGCTGCAACTCACACAGAGTGCACTGAGGGAATTCTGTGAAGGAACGTTCCTTTCCAGAGTAATCAAAATGCTTAGGAACAGAGAATTTAGTATAATATCCTGCACCATCTGACACTGATAATAAAATATAAAGTTCTTTAATCGTAACACCACTAATGTAGGAGAGCAGATGCCATTTTTCAAAAAATTATAAAAATTCTTAAAGCCATGATATCAATAATCATTCAATTCAGCATCCTTTTAATCATTTCTATGTACAGCACTGTAACATTTAAAGGCATTGCTGTCTGAATATTTTCATTGGAAAAATATAGGGAAGAGTGAAAGATTGTCAGTCAGTTCTATACATTAGTATCAATTTTTATCATTTTTATTATTTGACTTTACTAACCTTTATTGGATTTTAGCTCATGTGCCTAAAGAGTGGGACATAATGTCAATCCTCTTTCTATATTTCTTATTTAGTTTTGTTAAATTTATGTTGATTTCTTATATCATTTTAATGCATTACTATTTTTATTTTTCATAGGCTGCTAATTCTGGTCTATTCCAAGCTTTTGATTGGGGAAACCCTGATCAGAACATGATACACTTCCACCAGGTATGATTATCACAATATCCATCAATTGCATTGAGCTAATAAAAGTAGTATCTGCTCAGTAAGCACCTACTAGGTCCCACTCACTATGTCAGATATTTTATATAGATCAGTTTCCACTTACTGGGTTCTCGCCATATGCCATATCATTATTTTTGATCCTCACAGTGACGTTGCAAAGTAAATATTATTGTCTCCTTTTGCCAGAGGTTCAGAGAAATTAAATTGTAAGAATTATATTTATGAAAACTTCTGGAGCAAAAACCATACATTAAAGGGAAATATGTATTGTTGTTACTTTTTCCCAGTATTTTAGGAATCCAATAATAATTTTGGCTTCTTGCTGACAGACCTCAAGCTCAAATTAAATAAATAGTTATGAAAGATACATGGATTTTTCAAATCACTGATGTGGAAATGTGGAAATTTTATTAAAAAAAATTTTCAGTGCTGCCATGTTAACTACAATAATGAAAATGCTTAAATTCATTTGGTGTGAAAACAAGATTTTTCTCCCAAATGGCTATAGTTATATGCATATAGGGAGCTGTGTTCCCATATAACAGAGTCCCACACTATGTCAAAGTACTATTTCCTCTTATAACTAACCAAGTCCATGTTCTGGCAAGATACATAGTTGCTCTAGGAAAAGCTTTTTACATGGCAACCTTACTTGGGGACTCAGATATCTACCTGGAGGAGGAGAATTGAGTCACAGGCATTAGCCTTATTACTTACTCTATTTCCAGATTCTACCAAAATACATGATGACAGGTTTCATTATCAATATTTTTCCTGGGACTTTGGAGGAAAGGGGAAAATGCAAAACAAAGTGAGGGTGAATAATATACAGTTTTAACAGGCAATGATAACCTTACTCACAAGTGTATGTAATAACACAGAAATTAGATGGGTGCAATTAGCAATGTAATCACTAATATTTCATTTAAAAAAAAACAGTGCAAAAACTTCTTGACCAAAAGTCACCATCTCTCATTTGGATCCTGATCTTGAGATTCATTTTTGTTTTGCCACCTTCTACATTCCCCATTCATGTTTAGCAGGGTATAAAATCACTACAGTAAAGGTATTCTGATTTCAGGGACTCCTTAGATCCACTTTGTGCCTTAAAGCTTGCTAATATTTACTGCAGTCTCTGTGTTGTGTTGTTATCTATTCCTTATCTTTCTCCATCTTTGCATTTAAATATTTATGGGCTCTGCATTATTCTGAGAAAACTATAGAGTCAGGAACAGCATACCTCTTCTCTCATTCATTGCACTTTGCATTTGGGACACTGCATGAGATTTTTCTGGACCCACCTTCCCCTGCGTGCACTACTAGTCAGTGCTAGTAATCCACACTCATTTCCTTTTCTGCCCTTCTTATTGTCTTCTCATAGGTCCAAGCCTGGGTCCAAGACCTCCCAATATTATACATTAGGGCAATATACTTAAGATAGTTAGTAATTCAAGGACCAAGGCACCAATCCATCAACTAATAGTCATATTTGGAACTATGCCAGTGCTCTCTGCCTGAACATCACCCTGCTAAGAGAACTCAAGGTACACAGTCTCCAAGTCAGGGGGCTCCCCCAGGCACATTTTAGTCCTCTAAGAAATCTCTTCCTGGCCAAGATTACTGCTTCCTAAGGATCTATACATTTGTCCATGTTGCTTTTCCTTCCTAATCTTGCTGCCAGAATTAACTATGGTGTATTAATCTGCTTGGGATGCAAAAAAAAATACCATAAACTGAGTGTCTTAAACAACAGAAATTTATTTCTCACAGGTGAAATTGTGGAAGTCTGAGACAGGGTGCCAGCATGGTGGGGTTTTGGTGAGGCCTCTCATCCTTGCTTACAGGCCACCTTCTTGCTGTGTGCTCACATAGCTTCTCTGTGAGCGTTCTCAGAGAGAGAGAGAGAGAGAGAGAGAGAGAGAGAGAGAGAGAGAGAGATCTCTTGCACTCCCTGTAAGGCCACCAATCCTTTTGGATTAGGACCCAACCCTTATGAATTCATTTAAAACCTTAATTACCCCCTAAAAGTTTTAATCTCCAAATACAATTACATTGAGGGTGAAGGTTTCAAAATACAAATTTTGGGAGAACACAATTTCATCCATAGAACATGGTAATAGTCAAGACTCTGGCAACTACAAGTAGCAGAAACAGTACAAGTAGTACAAGTATTGTACGTTCAAAAAATATATACAGCTTTACTGAACTAAAAAGTGAAGTGGTAAATTCACAATAGCCAGAGGCATAAACACTGTCATGAGGAGTTCCTCTTCCTCCCTTTCTCTCTCAATTTTGCTTGCTTATGTTGTTTCCATTCTTAGGCTGTTTCTAAAATAGTAGTAAGATGATGACTGGATGGACTTAGCTCATGTAGTTCTTTCAAATGCAAACCCAAAGAAAAAGCCAAATGTTTTTCTCCATAGCTCTCGCAAAAATATCCAAAGAGAACTCGGGCCCAGTTTTACTCATGCACCCATCTTTCATATAGTTACTGAGGCTAGAAAGATGAAGGACGAATTGGCCAGGCCTGGTCATTCTGGACTGCTCTTACTAGGGACTGGGCTTGTATCAGCACAAGAAAGTCTGTGTTACCAGAAAGAGGAGGGAAGGGAAAATTTGCTAAGACATTAGCACCACAGCCGCTCTATTTCTCTGTAATGGGCTGGCTCCTTTGAAATATTTGGGCCATTTCAGAGTGTGGAAATCATGCTTTATTCAGAGCAAATTAAATGTTAGGGAGGTATTAGAACAGATTAATGGTTTCTGGTTTTACCCTCAGTTTTTGTTGTTGTTGTTGTTGTTGTTATATAACTCAATATTAAGCAAGCTCAGAGATAAGTCAAATTCAGTACTCAATTGATATAGCCTTCTGAGCTGAGTATGTATGAAAGTGAATGGTGGATGTGTGTGTGTGTGTGTGTGTGTGTGTGTGTGTGTGTGCGCGTGTGTGTGCGCAAAAGAGAGGTGTGTACCCAAAGTTTTAATATTTCTGAGATCCCTAGAGATTTGAATTTTAACCTATACCCTAATAAATTGGTTCCATGATTTAAAGTCCAAAAGCACTGCTATAAATAGCCAGAAACACTAGTTGAGGATTTCTGAAATTCTTTGAAGTTTTCTGCGCGCAGGAGATAAATGTTTCAAGTTCCTATAGGAAGAAGGATGGTTAGGACATAGGGCCTCCTACTGGTGAGGAGACAGATAGACTCTGATGGGCATGACCTTCCAGGTAATACAATTTTAATTTCCCATTTATTGAGCACCTGCTCTGTGTTCCTGCTTTCACCTAAGTGTGAAAGTTATCTGCCTCCTCAACCCAACATGGGTGGCAAATAACAGAAAAAAGGAACCCCTAGGCCTGTGCATGCTTCTATTCTAGTATGTGAAGCCTAGAAATTAAATGCAGAAAAGGGCATGCATGGTGTCTCAGACACTCAGCCTGAGGCCACATTACTGCCCACATGGCATACTGTTCGGCCCTATGGACAGGAGATAGACAGCATTGCTGCAACTCACACAGAGTGCACTGAGGGAATTCTGTGAAGGAACGTTCCTTTCCAGAGTAATCAAAATGCTTAGGAACAGAGAATTTAGTATAATATCCTGCACCATCTGACACTGATAATAAAATATAAAGTTCTTTAATCGTAACACCACTAATGTAGGAGAGCAGATGCCATTTTTCAAAAAATTATAAAAATTCTTAAAGCCATGATATCAATAATCATTCAATTCAGCATCCTTTTAATCATTTCTATGTACAGCACTGTAACATTTAAAGGCATTGCTGTCTGAATATTTTCATTGGAAAAATATAGGGAAGAGTGAAAGATTGTCAGTCAGTTCTATACATTAGTATCAATTTTTATCATTTTTATTATTTGACTTTACTAACCTTTATTGGATTTTAGCTCATGTGCCTAAAGAGTGGGACATAATGTCAATCCTCTTTCTATATTTCTTATTTAGTTTTGTTAAATTTATGTTGATTTCTTATATCATTTTAATGCATTACTATTTTTATTTTTCATAGGCTGCTAATTCTGGTCTATTCCAAGCTTTTGATTGGGGAAACCCTGATCAGAACATGATACACTTCCACCAGGTATGATTATCACAATATCCATCAATTGCATTGAGCTAATAAAAGTAGTATCTGCTCAGTAAGCACCTACTAGGTCCCACTCACTATGTCAGATATTTTATATAGATCAGTTTCCACTTACTGGGTTCTCGCCATATGCCATATCATTATTTTTGATCCTCACAGTGACGTTGCAAAGTAAATATTATTGTCTCCTTTTGCCAGAGGTTCAGAGAAATTAAATTGTAAGAATTATATTTATGAAAACTTCTGGAGCAAAAACCATACATTAAAGGGAAATATGTATTGTTGTTACTTTTTCCCAGTATTTTAGGAATCCAATAATAATTTTGGCTTCTTGCTGACAGACCTCAAGCTCAAATTAAATAAATAGTTATGAAAGATACATGGATTTTTCAAATCACTGATGTGGAAATGTGGAAATTTTATTAAAAAAAATTTTCAGTGCTGCCATGTTAACTACAATAATGAAAATGCTTAAATTCATTTGGTGTGAAAACAAGATTTTTCTCCCAAATGGCTATAGTTATATGCATATAGGGAGCTGTGTTCCCATATAACAGAGTCCCACACTATGTCAAAGTACTATTTCCTCTTATAACTAACCAAGTCCATGTTCTGGCAAGATACATAGTTGCTCTAGGAAAAGCTTTTTACATGGCAACCTTACTTGGGGACTCAGATATCTACCTGGAGGAGGAGAATTGAGTCACAGGCATTAGCCTTATTACTTACTCTATTTCCAGATTCTACCAAAATACATGATGACAGGTTTCATTATCAATATTTTTCCTGGGACTTTGGAGGAAAGGGGAAAATGCAAAACAAAGTGAGGGTGAATAATATACAGTTTTAACAGGCAATGATAACCTTACTCACAAGTGTATGTAATAACACAGAAATTAGATGGGTGCAATTAGCAATGTAATCACTAATATTTCATTTAAAAAAAAACAGTGCAAAAACTTCTTGACCAAAAGTCACCATCTCTCATTTGGATCCTGATCTTGAGATTCATTTTTGTTTTGCCACCTTCTACATTCCCCATTCATGTTTAGCAGGGTATAAAATCACTACAGTAAAGGTATTCTGATTTCAGGGACTCCTTAGATCCACTTTGTGCCTTAAAGCTTGCTAATATTTACTGCAGTCTCTGTGTTGTGTTGTTATCTATTCCTTATCTTTCTCCATCTTTGCATTTAAATATTTATGGGCTCTGCATTATTCTGAGAAAACTATAGAGTCAGGAACAGCATACCTCTTCTCTCATTCATTGCACTTTGCATTTGGGACACTGCATGAGATTTTTCTGGACCCACCTTCCCCTGCGTGCACTACTAGTCAGTGCTAGTAATCCACACTCATTTCCTTTTCTGCCCTTCTTATTGTCTTCTCATAGGTCCAAGCCTGGGTCCAAGACCTCCCAATATTATACATTAGGGCAATATACTTAAGATAGTTAGTAATTCAAGGACCAAGGCACCAATCCATCAACTAATAGTCATATTTGGAACTATGCCAGTGCTCTCTGCCTGAACATCACCCTGCTAAGAGAACTCAAGGTACACAGTCTCCAAGTCAGGGGGCTCCCCCAGGCACATTTTAGTCCTCTAAGAAATCTCTTCCTGGCCAAGATTACTGCTTCCTAAGGATCTATACATTTGTCCATGTTGCTTTTCCTTCCTAATCTTGCTGCCAGAATTAACTATGGTGTATTAATCTGCTTGGGATGCAAAAAAAAATACCATAAACTGAGTGTCTTAAACAACAGAAATTTATTTCTCACAGGTGAAATTGTGGAAGTCTGAGACAGGGTGCCAGCATGGTGGGGTTTTGGTGAGGCCTCTCATCCTTGCTTACAGGCCACCTTCTTGCTGTGTGCTCACATAGCTTCTCTGTGAGCGTTCTCAGAGAGAGAGAGAGAGAGAGAGAGAGAGAGAGAGAGAGAGAGAGAGATCTCTTGCACTCCCTGTAAGGCCACCAATCCTTTTGGATTAGGACCCAACCCTTATGAATTCATTTAAAACCTTAATTACCCCCTAAAAGTTTTAATCTCCAAATACAATTACATTGAGGGTGAAGGTTTCAAAATACAAATTTTGGGAGAACACAATTTCATCCATAGAACATGGTAATAGTCAAGACTCTGGCAACTACAAGTAGCAGAAACAGTACAAGTAGTACAAGTATTGTACGTTCAAAAAATATATACAGCTTTACTGAACTAAAAAGTGAAGTGGTAAATTCACAATAGCCAGAGGCATAAACACTGTCATGAGGAGTTCCTCTTCCTCCCTTTCTCTCTCAATTTTGCTTGCTTATGTTGTTTCCATTCTTAGGCTGTTTCTAAAATAGTAGTAAGATGATGACTGGATGGACTTAGCTCATGTAGTTCTTTCAAATGCAAACCCAAAGAAAAAGCCAAATGTTTTTCTCCATAGCTCTCGCAAAAATATCCAAAGAGAACTCGGGCCCAGTTTTACTCATGCACCCATCTTTCATATAGTTACTGAGGCTAGAAAGATGAAGGACGAATTGGCCAGGCCTGGTCATTCTGGACTGCTCTTACTAGGGACTGGGCTTGTATCAGCACAAGAAAGTCTGTGTTACCAGAAAGAGGAGGGAAGGGAAAATTTGCTAAGACATTAGCACCACAGCCGCTCTATTTCTCTGTAATGGGCTGGCTCCTTTGAAATATATTTCAGATGTCTGTTTTTGTGCATTGGTCTCAATGCTCCCTGAAGAGTTTGCTCATGTGTAAATAATTCCCCTGAGCTCAGATATCAGCATATGAGAAAGGGTGTTTATATTTATCCTATCCAATTTTTTTGTTTGTAAAGGACACACTGGGTTCAAGCAGTACTAGAAATAAGAGCCCTCTTCCTCTGGAAACCTTTCCTGTTTTCCCAACAGTGCAAATCAGGAATATAATAGTTGTGGTTTTTTAACTCACAATTCATATTGTTACACAAAAATGCTTTCAACTAATTGTAATGTTTTGATGTTTTTATGTCATTAAGTATATCCTCACTGCCCACTTTTAGTGCTTGAAGAATTAACAATTTATAGTTAATGTTACTTCTATGATGTGGTTTTCTGTGTAAACTCTTTTCTCTATCTCTTCAATTATTTTTAGCTTACACCTCCTTTATACAATGTCACTAAAATGGAAGTTCCAACAGCAGTATGGAGTGGTGGACAGGACCATGTGGCTGATCCCAAGGATGTTGAGAATTTACTCCCCCAAATTTCCAGGCTTATTTATTACAAATATATTCCACACTACAATCATGTAGATTTTTACCTTGGACAGGATGCACCCCAGGAAATTTACCAAGACCTAATTAGATTGATGGAGGAATGTTTGCATGATAGTAATGTCATCCACTGACTAAGGTGACCCCTCCAATAATTCTCACCCCTTAGTGCTCATGCGTCTGTGTCATCTTCCTCCCTGGAGTCCCGGAAGGACCTGAAACTTGCCTCTAGCCAACAGAATAGGCAATGGTAATGGAATGTCACACTCTTGGTTGGATTATGTTGACAGCAAGATGATGGGATGTCACTCCCTGACTACATTATATTATATAAGAATCCGTCTAATAAGACCGGAGCAAGAGATATGCCTTGTTGGCTTGATGAGGTAAACAGGTGTGTTGAGAAAGCCACATGGCAAGTAGCTATGTGTGGCTTCTACCATCTGCAGGGGGCCTCCAGTCAACAAAAAGCTGGGACTCCCAGTCATATAACCACAAAGAGATAAATTCTGCCTAAAACCTGAATGAGGTTGGAAGCCCATTCTTCCCTAGGAAAACCTCCAGTTCAGAAAGTAGGCTGGCCACACTTTGATTGCAGCCTGGTGAGACCCTGAGTGGAGGACCTAGCCATGCCACACCCAGACTACTGACCCATAGAACCAGTGATATAATAAATGTATATGGTTTTAAACCACTAAGCTTGTGGTACTTTGTTATCAGCAATAGTAAAATAACAGTATTAATAATAATAAACTATTAGTATTATCATTATTGTTGTTGTTGTTATTTTGTCTCTGATTAAATTCTTGAGAGACCCTGTTCCTTATTTCCCATTGTCCTGTATCTCTTGGGCTGATGAACTTCCTTGAACATTTCTTATTTTCCAAATCTGCTGGTGACTGATTTCCCTCAATGTTTGTTTGCTTCAAAGTCTTGTTTTGCCTTCATTTCATCATTTCTTTCTTTTTTTTTTTTACTATGGCAAGAGCACTTAACATGAGATCTACCCTCTCAATGGATTTTTCGATGTGTAGTACAATATTGTTAACTATAGACTCTGTATTGTGCAGTGGAGCTCTAGAATTCATTCATCTTGCATAAGTGAAACTTTATACCTGCTAAGTAACAATTCCCCATTTTCCCCTTTACCCAGGCCCTGGCAAACACTTGTTCTACTATATGCTTCTATGAGTGACTATTTTAGATATCTCATATACCTGGAATCATGATATATCTGTCCTTCTGTGACTGGCTTGATTCAATTAACATAATATCCTTCAGATTCACCTATGTTGCTGCACATGGAGGACTTTCTTCTTTTTTAAGGCTGAATAATATTCCATTGTATATATGTATAAAGCACATTTCTTTATCCAATCATCTACCAATAACATTTAGGTTGTTTGCATATCTTGGATATTATGAATAATGTTGGAATGAACAGGGGCATGCATGTATCTTTTTAAGATCCTGATTTCAGTTCTTTTGAATATATACCCAGAAGTGTGATTGCTGGATCATATGGTAGTTTTATTTCTAATTTTTGAGGAATCTTGATATTATTTTTTACAGTGACTCTACCATTTTACATTCCTATCAACAGTGTGTAAGAGTTCCAGTTTCTCAGGGGAACCCTCTTTCACTGCTGTAGGAATGTAAATTAGTTCTACCATTGTGGAAAGCAATATGGAGGTTCCTCAAAAAACTAAAAATAGAAATACCACTTGACCCAGTAATCCCACTCCTAGGAATTTACCCAAAGAAAGCAAGATCCCTGATTCAAAAAGACATATGCACCCCTATGTTTATTGCAGCACTGTTTACAATAACCAAGATATGGAAGCAACCTAAGTGTCCATCAGTAGATGAATGGATAAAGAAAATGTGGCACATATAAAAATCGAATTTATTTGGCCATAAAAAGAAAACAAATCCTCCTATTTGCAACAACATGGATGAACTAGAGGGTATTATGCTCAGTGAAATAAGTCAGCTGGAAAAAGACAAATAGCAAATGATTTCCCTCATTTGTGGACTATAACAAAGCAGAAGATTCACAGTGTGGGATTAATATATAAATCAAGTATAGAAATCAAATGCATAATCATATATGACTTGATTATTTTTCCTGTAATTCTTGATACGTGATCAAGAATAGAACAAACAAGACCAAAACAGTTTCTGTGACCTAATTGCCCTTGCTATTGTTTCAATACCATGGAAGACGTTGCGCCCCAGGACACTGGAGACTCTGAGGATTAAGTTTAGAGTTAGTTAATCCTGTGTATTAAGTCCCCCACACAGAATTCTATTGTTGTTAACATGTATTTGCTCAATAAATATGAAGGGTGCCCTCTCAGCACCACTCTTGCGCTGCTAAGCCTCGAATCCCCTGGCTGGTCCTTTCAGATCTTCGGTATCTCACCGCATCTCCTCCCTTATCTGTGGGTCAGAGGCAGGGAGGGACCGACACACAGACTCCAAGAAGGGACTAGCAGTTACCAAAGGCAAGGGGCTGGAGAGGGCGGGTGGGGAGGGAGGAAGAAGGGGATTAAGGGGCATTATAATTAGCACACATAATGTAGGTGGGTCATGGGTAAGGCAGTACAACATGAGAAGATAAGTAGTGACTCTATAGCATCTTACTACACTGATGGACAGTGACTTCAATGGGTGGGGGGGTGAGGACTTGATAATGCAGGTGAATGTTGAAACCACAACATTGTTCATGTGAAACCTTCATAAGCTTGTGTATCAAAGAAACTTTAATAAAAAAAGAGAGTTCCAGTTTCTCTACATCCTAGCCAACACTTTTGTTTGTTTTTTGCCTTCATTATTATTACAGCCATCCTAACAGGGATGAGATGATACCTCACTGTGGTTTTGATTTGCATTTCCCTGATTATTTGTGACAACTGGGAGAAGGTACACAATCCTGAGACTTCTACCCCAGGAGAAGGGGAGAGGAACAGCACCTATGTTATAGAAAAGGTTTGAGAGGCTCCCAGAATCTCCAGCTGGACTGGTGAAGGTATTTTGCCATTCATTTCTGAAAGACATTTTTTTCTAACAAGAGAATTTTATGTTGACATGCCTCATATTTTGTGGTTAATCTTCCAGTGCTTTTAAAATGTTGTTCATTGTCTTCTGGCACACATAGTTTCTTGCGAGTATGTGGTTTCTTATCTTTGTTTCTTTGTACTTAATGTACTGTTTTCTCTTTGTCCACCTTTATGATTTCCTTTTTACCAATGATTTTTATCAATTTGATTTTAGTGACTCTTGGTGTGGTTTTGTGGCATACCTTCCTTGGAATTCAGTAGGTTTCTTGGATCTGTGGATTTATAGTTTTCAACAAATATGGAAAATTTGTATCCAGTATTTCTTCAAATATTTTTTGTAGGTCTTTGTGTTTTTTTCCTAGTGTTTTCCCTCTGTGTGCTTCACTTTAGATAATTTCTATGTCTTCATATTCATAAATCTTTTCTTTTGTCATGTCTAATCTGCTATGATCATTTCAGGTGCATTTTAAAAACTTTGGATACTATGTTCTTCATCTCTGGAACTCCTGTTTAGTTCTCTTTTACATCTTCTGTTTCTCTTTAAATTGTTTATCATAGCAAACGTATTTTAATACCTATTTTAACATATCTGCTGTTTATTCAGTTATCTTTGTTTTACTAGTTTGTTCTATAGATTGATTTACTCCTGGTTATGGGTTATATTTTCCTGCTCCATGCTTAATAATTTTTTTATTGGATGCCAGACATTGAATTTTGCAGTGATAAGAGCTAAATTCTATTTTATTCCTTAAATAGGGTTGGAATTATTTTGGCAGCCAGTTAACTTACTTACAACTAAGTCTGATTATTTTGAGGCTTGTTTTTTACTTCTTAAGGGCAAGTCTAGAATAATATGCCCTCCAGTTAGTTTTACCCACTACTAAGGCATGCACTTTCTGAGGACTCTATTGAATTCCTCCCATGTTCAGAAAGGTCCCTGCATACCGGATGGTAGGAATTCAAATCAACCCCTATGTGCACTATATATACCTAGGAAATATTTTACTTACAGTTCCCTGGCAATTGTTCTTTCTCTGAGAGTTTTTACTTTGTCCACTCTTCTGGAATTTTACCCTTTGCATGGGCAAATTATTATTAAGCCAAAGGCTCGAGGAGATACTTCTCCACACTTCAAAGCTCTTTCTCTCTATTGCTCCTCTTTTTCTCATGTTCTGACCCACACATTTTTTCCCCATATCCTCTCTGAATTGCAGTTTCTGTATCCTTAAGTCAACTAGAGCACTGAGATCTCTTCAGGTTCCCCTACCTTTGCTGCAATCTAGAAATTGCTGGTAGGCAGAAAATGAACGTTTTCACAGGAAACACCTCTTTTGTTTTCTTCTTCCCAGTCATCACAGTCCTGTGATGCTTGATTTCCAATGTTTGAAAGCTGCTGTTTATTGCTTTTGTTTCAGTTTTCTAGTTTCTGTGATAGGCTGATAATTCCAGACCCTGTTATTATCTCATGGCCAGAAACAAAAGTGAAGATTCTTTTTAAAACTTAGATCATTCTGTTAATTTGACATGAAGTAGGTGATTATAATATATATATGTATATATACACAAATTTGTTTAAAATTTTAGTTACTTTATGTTTCATCTAAAATTGTTTCTTACTATTAGCATGTTGCAGGAAACTGTGATAAAATCCAAACCTCTAATTTTAGACAGGAGTAAGCACAGTCCTTGAGCATTCAAATGAATGCCCAAGGTGTATGAGTTAGTGAGTAAAATAAGATTTATTTCCACAATAGGGATCCAATCCAAGGTAGTAGTTCCACTAGATGTTTTCCTCTGCAAAAGCTTCACTCCTTTAACACCTTCAGTTACAAGCTTTTCCACTGATTCATCCTCCCTGTGACTCTTTCAAAGTATGTTTTCACCATGAAATGCTACTCTACTAGAAATCACAGTGGCTCACTGCTTTTTTATTTTATTCCATCAAATCCTAACTCCCCTATCTACACTTCAAAGTTCCCTATAATGTGACTTCACCTGCCTTTCCAGTTACATTTGCCTCTGTTTCCTCAACCAGATGCACATCATTCATTCAGACAAGGTTTGTGTATTTCTCACACATCTTTCCCATTCTCTTCGACAGGATTTGCCCACACTGTTTGCCTTAAACTGAATGGGATGTAATTAAATTTAAGTCATAACATTGCATTTCTTAATCAAGTAGAATTTTCTTTTTTTTATTGGACTATCTTAAAAATATTCCATTTTTATTTATAATTTATTTTCAGTAGGAGTCTTAAGGTATATCACCATTATCATCTTATCAATCATATTAATGTAATATTTTTAGTTTGGTTTTGAATTAGATGTTTCGAAATCTGAACACTGGTACCTCTTAGGGGAGAAAACTTTAACATGGAATCATTCTTTAGTTCCACCATAAGCCTACTCTCTGTAGGACATGGGGGGTCAGTGGTCTCCTTGGTGATAGAATGTCTTTGTAATCCCTGCCAAAGGAGTTTCCCAACAACTCCTCAAAGTTACAAGTCATTAATTTAAAAAATTTGAACTGTGCCTCTTATATGTTAAAGGATGAAGATATGGTATGAAACAAGGAAAACATGGTTCTTATTCTATTATTTGTATTAAGTTTAAAATATTCTGGGGCTAGGCACAGAGCAGTGGGATGGTGGTTAAAGTAGC